ATAGGTCACACTCTTGTTCTCTCTGTGACAGCTTCATGTCAAAAGATGAAGATGGGACGATGACAAACTTTTTGACTGGTAGGGACATCTCAGGGCTTCCTGCCCTCTTCTCCATGTTTAGGTCTGGTGAAGGTCAGGTTTAGCAAGGTACAAGGGGGAGGGGGTGGTGGTGTTCTCCTTTTTTCTTCCTCAACTTGATTAAAACAAACTTTAATGGATTTCAAATGTAAAGAAGTAGAGTATGTAAAAAATTTTTTTACAAATAATAAAAAAAATTGAGGAGGAGGGGGGGTTGGGTAGAGGATACGAACCTGGTTTAGGGTAAGTGTTTAGGTTTGAGGGGAAGGATTGGGAATAGGATACGAACCCGGTTTAGGGTAAGGGACTTGGTTTGGGGGAAGAGGTAAATAACTTTATTAAAAATAGAAAGTAGGGGATGGAAACTTGTTATTTTGGATACTGGGAGGGGAGTGGTGGTTTGTGATTTTGGAAAGTGGGATGAATGGTTGCAGTTATTATTTATGTTGTTTGTGTTTCCATAGAGTTTAGAAAAAGAATCATCAACTTACAGTGAAGTAAAACTGCTCTTTAGGTTGTTAAAATGTCAGCTTCTACTGCGTAAGAGTGGATAGTATCACAATAGATTTAAAATGATTTTAAAAGTGATAAATATGCTCAATAGTTAAGAAGCACGGAGAGGGTGGTGCTGGATAAAAATCTAGGCGGGTCAGCTTGTTCCTCCCGAATAATGGGCTTCAGAGATGGATTGTCAACCGACCTGAGGGTAAATCTACGCCCCAGAACAGCCATCCTCTCCTCTACTGTTCTCAGTCCTGAAAGCTAATGTACGTAGTGTGTTTGTGAACGTGGGGCATCTGTATGCCATCTTGATGGCAAGGTTTTGAATGATCTGAAGTTCTGACATGATACCTCCCCACGTTACACCAGGCTGGTGTAGCATACTCAAAGAGTGGCCGGATGTAGCTCTGGTACACTCTGATGGCTGTTCTGGGCGTGGCTCCTCCTTTTCTTCTACAGAGCACCCTCAGGTGGTTCAGGCACTTCCTTCCCTCCTTCTCCAGGCACTCCAGAACATGTTTTCTTGAAATGTGACCCCAAGGAACTTAGCCGTTGGGGTCGTCTAGTGTGCCTGTCCATACAGTTTAAGGTGCACTTGCTTGGTTCTTTTGAGGTGCCTGGAGAAGAGGATGCACTGGGTCTTCAGGGGGTCGAGCTTGACCCGCCACAGATTGGCACAGTTCTCGATCTCTGTTATGCTCTTCTGTAGATATTTTCCAGCATGGGCAAAGTTTTTGGAGGAGGCCTGCGAACTGGGCCACTTTTCCCTTTCTTGGGTGGGGGTAATAAATATCACAGATGTTCATTAAAAACAGTAGAGGACTGAGGGTGGAGCCTTGGGGTACTCCCGCCTCTGGAGAGAACCTGAATGATGTGGCTACTCCCACCCTCACCGCTATCTCCCGCTGATTTAAAAAGCTGTTTAAAAGACTGACCATCTGAGTGGGGAGTTTCAGGTTTGTATCCGATAGCACTGTCAATGTCGAAGAAGATCGCCACCGTCGCCTCTTTTTTTGTTGAACCCTCTTTGTACATTGGCCAGCCTCAGGATGTTGTCGGTAGTTGATCTCTTCGTCCTGAAGCTGGCCAGGACCCTTCTCCAGCAACATCCCCAGACCGTTCAGTAGGCTGATGGGCCTATAGTTGGCCGCCACTGAATGGGTGCAGAGGCAGAGGTCCAGGTTTTTGACCGAGTTATAGGATGATGCATAGTGGGTGGGTTCATCACTGTTGATGAGGACAAGATCGTGCTGTTCAAGGATGGTGTTAAGTGCTCTACCGGTTGAGTTTGTGCTTTTATTGTTGAAGGTGGGGTGTTTGGCGTTTTAGTCACCCATTATGTTGACCTTGTCCTCATGATGAAGGAGATGTTGGAAGAAATGTGGGGAGGGGATCACCCCTGGCGGACTGTAGAATGCCGCTCCTTCAGGCTGCTCCAGATGGCAATGTATTTGGCATCGTCCTGACAGAGGCCCTTATGAAGATCATTGACCCAGATGATTCTGGGCATCTGTTCAGGACTGGGAGTGAGGCTGAGAGGGTTGCCTGGAGTTGAGCAGGGACAGGTAGGTGGGGCACTGCTTAGATGCTGCGGACTGGGGCCCCCCACAGTTGGCGCACTGTGCATCATGTTTCTCCTTAGTGCAGGTTTTGTGGGAGTGTCCCCATCCACACCTGGTGTCTTCTGTGCAATGTTGTGCTGTGTGGTTAAACGCTGACATTTAAAACACTGTTTAAAATGTACAGGAGTGTGGGCTTTATTGACTCTAGTGGAACTAGTCCATATAAAAACCCTCCCTTAGGAGTCTGGGGGCATCCTCAGGGCGTGAGGGTTACCCGGATATGGGAAGTGGAGTGGTCCAGTTTTGGCAGTTTCTCCTGTCTAGATGTGTAATTGGATCTTCCTAGATTGACTCCACCCCCAGGAATTACCCATAGTGAGACACAGAACGAGTAATTGAAATAGAACCTTTGCGTAACCTCTTGACTGTAACAAAGAGTTGAACACAAACGGTAATTATACATTTTTTACATTGTACTTTTTTTTTTTTTTTTATGTGAGAAGAAAATGACATTCAGGTAATAGAGATGAACATATGTTTAATCAAGGTGAAATATATGCCCAGATTCTTCTTTAAACTCATATGGATCAAAGATAGTCAAAGCAAAACAAAAATGGTTGACCTTTTTTTCCACATTTCATTCAGTCTTTCAGTTTAGAGTTTGACTTTTCTTTTGGGGAACAATGTACATAATATCCCATTCACCATACTTTACAGTGCATCAACTCTCAACCAATGGCCTTTTCACCCATCTCTAGAACCCACACTTCAACCCATTTATATAATGATTTACATACAAGGCTAGAACAATCTGTATCATTAGGCTACCAGTTGGTGAGAAAAAGTACTTCAGACAAATGAACAGAACAATGAAAGAGCTAAATAATGGGCATTTCTTGAACTTTGTGGCTCCTGACTAGCTTTACCATCAACAGTGCCTTGCATGATGTATTTCTCAATTTCTGGGTCAAAACCATGGCCACATTCCAATTTTATCACTTGACTCCTTTCCCAGACAAGTCAACAAGGATGAACTACAACTAGGAGAGGGAGTGGGTGAGTCATCTCTTTCTGACCCGTTGATGAGCCCGTCTGATGACGCTGTGCAACCATCCTCGGCACAGTGAACGTTAATGTGTTAAGGTAATGTCAGGCATCTTTTAATTGAAACGAGACTTGGAAACCCATCAGAAACCAAACAATAGTATGATTAATCGAAAAACAGTCTTTCAAAAGAAGAACAATTCATACAGAATCATCATCAACAAACCCTGGTGGCTATCTGACTTCAAGTGAAACACAAAGCATGCAGATGCAATGTAGGTGAACAGTCTGACTGAACAATACTAAATAATGGCAACAAAATAAACAACTAAGAGAGCATAAGAGTTAAAGAAAATATATATTCAGAGCTCAGTCTGAGTTCAGTTAGTAACTGATTACTCTCAACCAGAGACATGAATGACTAGAGAGCTAGATGTGATCATCTCAGAAAAATCGGAATCAATCCATCAATTACGAAATATAAAATGCTATCGAGATGTAACAGTAAAATGACCAAAACAAAAGGCTAAAATCATCTTAAAGGGGCAATCTGCAGTTGCATCATCCATTTTTGGACTTCTGAATTAATGAAATATTCCCATTGATTCTTGAAGAATATAACTTAGAAATGCCTCATGAGCTTAGTTCAACAGTCATAACCTATCAGAACTCCAAATATAAGCTTGTTTCACTCCAATGTTGGTAAACAAAGTAAATGTAAACAAGCACTATATAGCCTCAAAACATGGTTAAAACTATAATTGTAATATCATGGATTTGCATCCATAGCTCGGTCAATGAATTTGAGAGTGGTTACCTTTCTCCGACCCTATCCCTCAGCTTTTTACCGACTACAGGGGTGGGGAGTTCACTTTGTTATTGTTTCAACTGATGATTCCCTTTTTAGGTGGTTAGCCGGCAGTTGGTATGTATGAGTCAGAAATCTAATTAGCATCTCCAGTCCAGTGACAAACTCACACAGAGTGGTCAATAGAGGACTCCTTCAGAACAGACAATACTCCTTACTGGCTTGCTTTCCTTGTCCTTCATAGCCACTGATAGGGAAAGATGGGTAGGTTTCCATCCTTATCATTTTCACCTCTCATGTCTTTTGAGATCAGTGGCCATGAAGGAAAGGAGGTGAGGAAAGGAAGCATCTAAAGACTATAGAGACATGTCTCCTGAAGCAGGGAGGCCACTGTTTGGAGATTAAATACACCCAAATATTATACAGACAAAAGTTATCCTACACTACAAGAAAGGGTGAATAATAAATATGAATGAAATGCTTTTTAGACACAATCTCGCAAATTCTGCAATATTGCTTATGTCTTTAATTCAACCCTCTCAGATCTCCAGGAGTGTGTAGGTGGTAGGGGCTAGGGGTTGATGTGGATTTGGGCTTAGCTCTTTCGATAGAAGCATTGCCACTTGAGGAGTAACTGATTGTGTTCAGATGAGTGTGTTTTAGTGTTACTCAGTGGTGGTCTATGAGGGACTCCTTCTGTAGTACAAAGGCATGTTGCTGTAGCGTAGTGTGTCACTATGTTTGGACTCTGTTTGACCAATGACTTCTCTCATTGGACAAAACCCCAACCCATTATGGACTTCAGCTTAAATATAAACTCAGGTTAAGGAGTGTCTCATTCAGATAGAAGCACAGCCATAACAATGACATGACAGGGTAGAATAGGGCTAGATGATGTTTGGGCAGAAAAGATGGCCATTAAATACAAGAAAGTCCTACAGTTGATCTCTAAGAGCAAGAAGAAGACAGGTGGTGAATACACTACAGGGTTAACTCCCTCCCGGACTCCACAGGCTCCAACGAGGTGTAGGCGCACACACACACACACACACACCAAACAGATAGGAGTCCCATCTCCAACGGGAGTCCCATCTCCAGTGGGAGTCTGACGCAACTCTGTCGCCCTCTGGAGGTCTAGTCCAGAACAGATCCTCTCATCCCCCCCTCCTCTCCTCACACACACACACTCCCTGCCTCCTGTAGTCCCTCCAGGCTTATCTAGTGTAGTAGACTCTGTAGTAGACACTCTTGGACCTCCAAAGAGAGTAAGAGTTGTCGAACTTGAGAAGGTAGACTCCACGGCCGGGGTATTGGTGACTGCCGGCGTAGACCTCCTCGTGACAGTCCCGCCGGTACACCGGCACTATCTCATCCACCTGCGGCTTCCCTGCCTCCTTCTTAGCCTTCTCCTCCTCACTAGGGGGCTCTCCTGGAAATAGAGGGAACACAGACCATCAGGGGGGCTGGTCAGTAGCTACTGGATCACACTACAAGATTATATTAATCTGGTCTGAGGTGGCTTTCAGTAAATAGCCTAGTGTGTGAAAGGACCAAACACATTAACAATAAGGGGGTATGTTTAAAACATGAAAAAAATCCATATTAGCCCTGACAAACAAGCAGGTATAAGCCTTCTCAGTAGGACTGCATCCTGGGTCTCTCGAAAGAACCCATAACATCCCATTAGAAATCCAGCAGCCATCTAATCGTCCTCTCCTCACCTTCCTCATCCTCGTCTTCGTCGCTGGACTCGCTGACGTGCACGCTGACCGAGGCATTGGCGGCGTCCGTCCACTCGAAGAAGACTCCGAAACCGATATCGTAGTGGTCCGTGGCGAACTCCCAGAAGAGGTAGGAGCCCTCCTCGTGGGTGGGCACGCGCACTGTCACTACCTCGCCACGCCCCACCGTGATCACACTGTCCACGTCCTGCCGAATCTTCTCCTTGAAGTCCTTGATCTGGGGACGCGTCCACATGGAGGGGGCTGCTATGACCGGGGGAGAGTCTGCTGGGGGAGAGAAGGGAGAGTACGGAATGAGAGGGGCGTGTAAATATAACAGTGGCAGATTACGCACAATGTACATCCATTTCTAAAGTACAACATTTCAAAGAATGTACAACATACAAAAAATATCTGCTTGTGAGTACTTAAAGTTACTTTAATTTTCACTAGATGAGACAGAACTGGCTTTAGGGCAATACTGGCACACTGTCTCCTTGTTCTATCCAGGATAACAGAGTAGGCAGAGATACTCTGCTATAACCGATTAATTAATTCCATGGCTTGATTCCAAACCAGAAATGTGCATCCTCTGTCCTGGGCAGCAACTTCTTACCCCATCGAAGGGTTAGGTGGAGTCATTCACGTATCCCTTACACCTATTCATCCCTTTCTGATCCCCAAAGTCACATCACCAAGTGTAGAGGGTAAGGCATCACATTACAGTTTGGAATGTGTGCGCGCTTGTGCATATGTATGTGCGTCTGTCTACCTGGCCGGTGTGTGTACGTGCATGCGTGTTTGTACCTGCCCGTTGCGTGTGTGTACCTATGGGCCCGTTCTCAGTGACCTCCTCAGCAGGCTCGAGGGGCTCTGGTTCCCTGTCCATGCCCTCAGAGTGGGAGTCTGACTGGCCATTGAGCAAGGGGACCTCCTCTCTAGCCGGGGGCGCTGCAGCTACAGGCTCACTGGTGGCTTCCAGGGTGGCCTGCACCACTGCATCCTCCTGCTGCTTCTGTAAGGCCGCCTGGAAGGATGAGGGAGGTGGAAAGGAGGAAGGTCAATGACTGGCAGCAGAATTAAGACATTCCTGTATAATCTCTAGTTTTTTCCCTTTATGATCACTTAAAATCTCTTTATAAAAACTGAAAGACAACACTGGTTGACAGCATCTCTAATTAGGGATATGTTTTAGTATCAGTGTTTAAAGACGTCCTCCAGCTATTTTTTAACTTTTCCTGTTGAAAAGCGATATCCCAAGTATAAATAGGGGAGGAGTGGGGTAAGTTTAGCCAAAGGGGTAAGTTGAGCCACCCTTGTTTCTAGGAAACCATACACAAAATTAATCATTAACCAAATACTTAGGAAGAGGTCATTTCATGGACACTTAAGAAACTACATGGAAAAAGTGGTAAGCAAGTCAGTCCCAAAAAACAGTTTTTCACCAAGTGAAATTAATTTGTGTTTGAGGTTTCATGATGCTTGTATCTAAACCAAAGTAGATCATTTTAAGATTGTTCTATACATCAGTTGGGTTCTCTATAAGCGTCAATATGAGGTCCTAAACCTAGCATGAAAGTGCATCCTTGTAGCTGTGTGGGCTCATACCCTGAGTATACAAAACATTAAGAACACCTTTCCATGACAGACTGACCAGGTGAAAGCTATGATCCCTTATTGATGTTACCTGTTAAATCCACTTCAGTCAGTGTAGATGAAGGGGAGGAGATAGGTTAAAAAATGATTTTGAAGCCTCGAGACAATTGAGACATGGATTGTGTCTGTGTGCCATTCAGAGGGTGAATGGGCAAGACAACATATTTAAGTGCCTTTGAACGGGGTATGGTAGTAATTGCCAGGCGCAACGGTTTGAGTGTGTCAAGAACTGCAACACTGCTGGTTTTTCACTTAAGTTTCCCGTGTGTATCAATAATGGTCCACTACCCAAAGGACATCCAGCCAACATGACAACTGTGGGAAGCATTGAAGTCAACATGGGCCAGCATCCCTGTAGAATGCTTTTGACACCTTGTAGCCCATGCCATGATGAATTGAGGCTGTTCTGAATGTTTTTAACACTCTATAGTCAAAACGTTTGCCTTGGGGTAAGTTGAGCCAATGGTTGAGCTAATGGCAAGTTGAGCAAATTGATGTGTTTTCTTCCCAGTTGTAATGCAACGCATTATCACTGGGATATGCGGTAATAACAGGGCCTGGCCTGTTAAAAGTGTAAAAAAAAAAAGTACAAAGTGTTTGTTAGGTGTCAGCCTATGTTAAAATATGCTTAAACACCCACAAATCAGTGTGTGATGATGTAGGGCACACAAAATGTACTTTGTGTCTTAAATTTTCATGTACCGAATAGAAATCTAAAGTTCAATGCGTTTCCATTATATTTTCAACTCTACCGATAGTTTTGTCACAACAACTGTTGTGTTAAATAGCAAATGTGCCTACTCTGGTCTTGGCTCGTGCGCTCTAGCCAACAGCTCACAGATACAGTGCGGGTAGGCTGTGCAGGTAGGCTAGTCTACATGAGATTATTATGGATAAGAGTGATAATATTTGTATTTTTCAAATGGCACTCAAGCATCGAGCATCATGTCACCAGAATAAGACCCTCAATATTTATTGGAAAGAGCGTCAAGATCACAGTGCACTTTCACCACCCTGTGAAGTTCATCATAACTTATTTCATCTGTAGCCTAATAAACTGCATGGTTTCCTGAGTCGTAGTGGGAGGACCACACACCATGTCATCGCGTGACTCCAAGTTTACTTCGATATGATTGATGGTTGTTATATCAATATTTGCAAAGGCGTTTCCACCGCCATTTATCGCATAATTAATTTTAACGACACAAAAAGATCCCACCATGTCGAACGAACAAATGAGCTGTCGGCATTTATAAAATTGTACTGAAACATCCTGTTTCCATCACAGCTGTCGTGATTTTTTATACGGTACTATACTCACATAAAAACAGTGGATGGAAAAGTAGTTAAGTCATCGTTTTAGTCAAAGTTGAAGTGCCAAATCTGAATGTGTGACTTCGGATGTTTCCGTGAGTCTTACATGTCTTTTCCTATGAGATGACGTGCAAATTATTTTCAAGCTGTTTCGTTTCAGGGCTGGGGTTTCTTTCAATGTTACCACCCACCAGCATGGCAATGTTTATTAATCAGAAACACCTGCTGCAAAGTTCTATGTGAGTCTTATCCCAAACAGCTTTTCTCTGTAGCCTACACGTGGGTTCCCACTAGATGAAAACAGCCACAAAGTCAAAATTGGCTATATCATGCAAATTCAAGAAAACTAAAATGACCTTTTTCGTCTTAATTTAAGGTTAGGCTAAGGTTAGCAGTGTGGTTAAGGTTAGGGCTGAGGTGAGGGTTAGGTTAAAAATCAAATTTTAAGTAGAGAAAATGTAGAAATAGATGGGGTTCATGACTTTATGGCTGTGTTAACTAGTGACGACCCTGGACTTGGCCACCTTGCAATGGAGCTAATTAAAATAGGGGGTGCAACCTAATGTTTTTGCACCTCCCCTTTTTTACCAGCATATCATAATCCATTGGATAATTTGTCAAGTTTCATTTTAAGTTAGTCTGCATTAAATAATATATATTACCATTTTATAAAATTGTAAAATTGCGTGATATGATTACATTTTAGCTCCCTCAGTCGCTCAAGATCAGAGCATATGAGCGGAGTGGAGCGGGAGCGAGCGTGGAGCGTGAGCGGACGGATTTTGAACAGAGCGCAGAGCGGCATTTTTAAAAGGACGGAGCGTCGCCCTATGTCCCGCTCCAATTTCGCTCGCTCACACCACGAGTCTGAAGCATGCTTAAGCCTGACCCAGAATCCATCTGTTTAATTTAATTTGTGTCGTCCATGAATTTGTATTTTATAGAGCGAGAGGAGCAGCAGCAGCAACAAGAGAAAAGGGTTGAGGAATTCAAAAGTTTATTCACTGCACGCAAAGGCCCAACCATAACAAGGGAGAGAAAAAGAGAGCTGGATGTAGCATTTTTTGAAATGATTTTCATGGACTATGAACCGCTGAGTAAAGGAGAACGCGAAGGGATGCAACACTTCGCCAGCGCAGCTCAACCGGGCTACACTCCCCCAAGAAACTATGATAAATCAGTACTTTACTTTGTCAAATTTCTCAAAATCTGAGATGCCCCATTCACATGCTTCAGCTGGCGATCAAAAACGCCGTTAACAAGCACGACAACATTAATAGGCTGTTAGTGAAAGTCGGGCACCTGGTGAAAAGTGTACGCAAGAGCACAGAGGAAACCGACCAATTAGGTGTCCACCCCACAAATGCCTGCGCCATTCGATGGAGCAGCCAGCTGCGGATGATTCAGTCGTTCATCCGGTTGTTACAAAAAGACCCGTTATGGTAAAACAAACTCAAGTCTAATGTTGCTAACATCACCCTGAATCAAGTACGGCAGCTGACGCACCTTGTCAGTGTGCTGACACCACTAGCAGACCTCACAGACAAAATGCAGAAGGAGCTGGGGAACCTGGGGATGATCCTCCCTGCTGTCACAGAAATCAAATCCCTGCTCACCGATTACACTCACGCTGCACTTCCAATGGGCATCGCTGCTTTTGCAGAAACATTGGCAAACAACGTGTCAATTCGCTATGGAATATACTATACTGATTAACATCTCATTTTAGCGTCAGTGTTAGATCCCCGTTTCAAGACAGAATGGATAATCCGAGATGAGTCTGTATGCAACAAATTCGGGGAGATAAAGTAAGGCTGTGGTTTAAGCTAAAAGTGAAATACATGCAGATTTTGTTCCTTTTTTGGAGTGAGCGGGGGGCGATTTGAGTGGAGCGCGATGCAAACTGCGTTGAGCGCTGAGCGATAATGAGCGGACTGGCCTGATGTGGCTTTGAGCGGGGGGAGCGGAGGGGTGAACAGCTCCGTGAGTGAGGAGCTGAGATTCTCACCGCTCCACTCCGCTCATATGCTCTGCTCAAGATGAATGGTTTTGACCCCTAACGTTTTAGGCATTAGTTTTGCATGCCCCGGGTGTGCAGGGTTTGCTCAATTTAGACCATTCCATTGATCCTAAAAAGAGAAATCTCCACCCACCCGGGGCACCGGGCCATGCAAAACGAACTCACCCATTGCTTCAATACACGCTCCAAACCGTTCAATAGTTAGGCTAACCATATTGCCGGAGCTTACAGTGCCTTCAGAAAGTATTCACACCCCTTGACTTATTCCGCATTTTGTTGTGTTACAGCCTGAATTTAAAATGGATTAAATTAAGATTTTGTGTCACTGGCCAATACACAATAATGTAGAAGTGGAATTATGTTTTTCAAAACAAAAAAAATATTAATATTAGTATTCAACCCCTTTGTTATGGCAAGCCTAAATAAGTAATATAAGTTGCATGGACTCACTCTGTGTGAAATAATAGTGTTTAACATGATTTTTTTATGACTACCTCATCTCTGTACCCCACACATACAATTATCTGTAAGGTCCCTCAGTCGAGCAGTGAATTTCAAACACAGATTCAACAACAAAGACCAGGGATGTTTTCCAATGTCTCGCAAAGAAAGGCACATATTGGTAGATGGCAAAAAAGCAGAGATTGAATATCCCTTTGAGCATGGTGACGCTATTAATTACACTTTGGATGGTGTAACAATACACCCAGTCACTACAAAGATACAGGCATCCTTCCTAACTCAGTTGCCGGAGAGGAAGGAAACAGCTCAGGGATTTCACCATGAGGCCAATAGTGACTTTAAAACAGTTACCAAGTTGAATGGCTGTGATAGGAGAAACCTGAGGATGGATCAACAACATTGTAATTACTCCACAATACTAACCTAGTTGACAGCGTGAAAAGAAGAATATTCCAAAACATGCATCCTGTTTGCAACAAGACACTAAAGTAATACTGCAAAAACATTTGGCTAAGCAAATCACTTTTTGTCCTTAATACAAAGTGCTATGTTTGGGGCAAATCCAATACAACACATTACTGAGTATCACTCTCCATATTTTCATGCATAGTGGTGGCTGCATCATGTTATGTGAATGCTTGTAATCGTTAAGGACTGGGGAGTTTTTCAGGATAAATTTTTTTTTGGAATGGCGCTAAGCACAGCAAAATCCTAGAGGAAAACCTGGTTTTGTCTGCTTTCCACCAGACACTGGGAGATGAATTCACCTTTCAGCAGGACAATAACCTAAAACACAAGGCCAAATCTACACTGGGGTTGCTTACCAAGAAAACAGTGAATGTTCCTGAGTGGCCGAGTTACCATTTTTACTTAAATCTACTTGAAAATCTATGGCAAGACCTGAAAATGGTAGTCTAGCAATGATCAACAGCCAATTTGACAGAGCATGAATATTTTTTTTAAGGAATAATAGGCAAATGTTGCACAATCCAGGTGTGGAAAGATCTTAAAGACGTACCCAAAAAGACTCACAGCTGCAATCGCTGCCAAAGGTGTTTCTACAAAATATTGACTCTGGTGTCTACTTATGTAAAATGAGATATTTCTGTATTTAATTTTCAATAAATTTGCAAACATGTTTTCACTTTGTCATTATGGGGTATTGTGTCTAGATGGGATTTTTTTTTTTAATAAATATGTAATCCATTTTGAATTCAGGCTGTAAAACTAAATGTGGAATAAGTAAATGGGTATGAACACTTTCTAAAGGAACTGTAGGTTGACAATTAGAAAATATGTCTGTTAAACTCAGTTATTTTGCAAAAGAAAGCCACGCATTTCAATGCATGCCACAGGAACACCTACCATATATGATACTTTGCCTAAAACGATGACTTATTGACTTAAAAGCTTTGTGCAACACCATGGGTAAGCTCTGGTTATCGTCTTTCAGCTCGAAAATGTGGATTCCTACTGGTATGGGTGTTTAAAAGACAAAAGTGATTGTGACGGTATTGAATTGTGTTTGGTTTTAAAAAGGCAGTGGTAATATTTCATTCAGTACAGAAATTTGTAGGCGGCTTAAAGGAAAACTCCGCCCAAAAACGATTAGTCCATTGTTGATATAGTCTCAAAATGCTTTGCATGACAACAATCAAGTTTTGAAAATATACAGTGCATTCGGAATGTATTCAGAACCCTTGACTTTTTCCACATTTTGTTACGTTACAGCCTTATTCTAAAACTGATTAAATTGTTGTTTTTCTCATCAATGTCCACAATATACCCCATAATGACAAAGCAAAAACAGGTTTATAAAATGTATAATAATAAAAAATATATATATAATATTTACATAAGTTCAGACCCTTTACTCAGTACTTTGTTGAAGCACCTTTGGCAGCGATTACAGCCTTGAGTCTTCTTGGGTATGACATTATAAGCTTGGCACACCTGTATTTGGGGAGTTTCTCCTATTCTTCTCTGCAGGTCCTCTCAAGCTCTGTCAGATTGGATGGGGACCATCACTGTATAGCTATTTTCAGGTCTCTCCAGAGTTGTTAGATCGGGTTCAGGTACGGGGTCAGGCTGGGCCACTCAAGGACATTTAGAGACTTGTCCCAAAGCCACTCCTGCATTGTCTTGGCTGAGTGCTTAGGGTCGTTGTCCTGTTGGAAGATGAACCTTTGCCCCAGTCTGAGGTCCTGAGCGCTCTGGAGCAGGTTTTCATCAAGGATCTCTTTGTACTTTGGTCCGTTCATCTTTCCCTTGATCCTAACTAGTCTCCCAGTCCATGCCGCTGAAGAACATCCCCACAGCATGATGCTGCCACCACCATGCTTCACCGTAGGGATGGTGCCAGGTTTCCTCCAGATGTGACGCTTGGCATTCAGGCCAAAGAGTTCAATTTTGTTTCTCATGGTCTGAGAGTCCTTTATGTGCCTTTTGGCAAACTCCAAGCGGGCTGTCATGTGCCTTTTACTGAGGAGTGGTTTCCTTCTGGCCACTCTACCATAAAGGCCTGATTGGTAAAGTGCTGCAGAGATGGTTTTCCTTCTGATAGGTTCTCCCATCTCCACAGAGGAACTCTAGAGCTCTGTCAGAGTGACCATCAGGTTCTTGGTCACCTCCCTGACCAAGGCCCTTCTTCCCCGATTGCTCAATTTGGCCAGACGGCCAACTCTAGGAAGAGTCTTGGTGGTTACAAACTTCTTCCATTTAAGAATGATGGAGGCCACTGTTTTCTTGGGGACCTTCAATGCTGCAGAAATGTTTTGGTAACCTTCCCCAGATCTGTGCCTCGACAAAATCCTGTCTCGGAGCTCTACGGACAATTCCTTTGACGTCATGGCTTGATTTTTGATCTGACATGCACTGTCAACTGTGGGACCTTATATAGACACGTGTGTGCCTTTCCAAATCATGTCCAATCAATTGAATTTACCACAGGTGGACTCCAATCAAGATGTAGAAACATCTTAAAGATGATCAATGGAAACAGGATGCACCTGAGCTCAATTTCGTGTCTCATAGTAAAGGCTCTGAATACTTATTACTTTTTTATTTTTAATACATTAGCAAACATTTCTAAAATCCTGTTTTTGCTTAGTCTTTATGGGGTATTGTGTGTACATTGATGAGGATTTTTTTTATCTATTTAATCAATTTTAGAAAAAGGTGTAACGTTACAAAATGTGGAAAATGGGAAGGGGTCAGAACACTTTCCAAATGCACTGTATAACTTTCAAAATACAGAAATACAGCCTTGCGATGCACTTTCCATCATATAATGCAAAACGCAGAATCATATACTGTAATGCTAAATGCATCATATCAGCTGTATTTCTGTATTTTGAAAGTTATACTGTATATTTTGAACACTTGATTGCTGACATGCAAATCATGTCACTCACAAACTTTTACAGATGCACAATTGAGAGCATCCTGTTGGGCTGTATCACCGCCTGGTACGACAACTGCACCGCCCGCAACCGCAGGGCTCTCCAAAGGGTGGTGCGGTATGCCGAACGTTAGATATTAATTGTTAGATATTATGGCACTGTCGGAGCTAGAAGCACAAGCATTTCACTACACCCGCAATAACATCTGCTAAACACGTGTATCTGACAAAAAAAATGTTGATTTGATTTGGGGACTATCAACAATGGACTAATGAAACAAATACCAAAAGATAGTTTTGGGGTGGAATTGTCCTTTAACTTTCATCTGCTTGTAAAAAAAAATGCCAAGAGAACACTTTTTTTGGACAAGCTATGTTTTCAAAACTAATGTTTACATGAATTCTGATTATTTCTGGGCATAAACATCCTGAAATATATGTAGATATCTTTGTTAGAAAGAAAACTATATTTTCCTTGACGGAGTGATGCTGAATGTAAAAAATGCTCAATTTACCCCACTCTCCCCTACAGTAATGTACACACACTTAACGGTAAAAAAATATGTTTTGCGCAAAACAGTGGTTTTTACAACTGCAAACTTCAAGAAGTATGGCATTCAAGGAGTTGGTCTGATGTGATGTCATCGGCCTCCCCACTTGCTTGAGGAAGATGTGGAGTGCATAGAATGTAGTGGTGTGTACCTGTTGTTGTGCCAGCTGGACCTGGTAGAGCTGCTGCATGTACTGTTGGTAGTGTTGTTCCTGTAGCTGGTGTATGAGACCCAGCTGCTGCTCAGGGCTCTCTGGGTACTGCTGGGCAGCATACTGCTGGAACTGCACCGCCGTCTGGGCATTCAGCGCTGCCATGATCTGCTGTCTGCAGACAGGGAGGGGGAGGTTGGAGGAGAGCGTCAACTCAGCACCCTTCAATGAACACTGGCCTACCATAAAAAGCTACATAAACACCGTAGATAGAGGTAGCTTTAACATTCTATGCACTCCACATCTTCCTGAAGGTAAAGAAATTGATAATATATCATACACACAGACACACGACTCACTTCTGCTGCTCCACCCGTAGCCTCTCCTCCTCCAACTGTCTCCTCTCCTCCTCCTCCCGCTTCAGCCTCTCCTCCTCTTCAAGCCTCCGTCTCTCCTCCTCCTGCCTCTGTCGCTCCCTCTCTTCATCCTCCCGGCGCTGTCGTTCCTCCTCCTCCCTCCTGAGGTGAGATAGAAGGAAAGAGACAAAAACACGACAAATTTGAGTAAACTCCCTAAATACTAGGATAGTTTCCACCATGTTGCTGTCATGGGCAGAAATGTCTGTCTGTCCTCCTGGGCATCTTACCGTTTCCTCTCCTGTTCCTCCTTCTCTATTTGGTGGGAGGTGACATAGGGAGCGAATAAATTACAGCATTTGTTCAACAGCTTGACAAACTCCACCATGGCCTCCTCCTTCTCCATGTTACCCAGAGCAGCCCACTCTTTCCTACAGAGGGGAAATAGGGATAATATAGTTTTGTTTCTTCTCACTTTTGTTTATTTCACTTTCTTTGGCAATGTAAACATATATTTCCCACGACAATAAAGCCCCTTTGAATTTAATTGAGGGTGGGAGATAGAGAGGAGAGATCGAGATTAGGGACAACTTTCTTTTTACACTGAGCTGTGAAAAACCTTTAAAAAACGCCAAGAGGAAAAGCTCTGATTCCACACTGTTTCCTCACGTTTCCTGGAACACAGTAGCAGCACTAGGGATGGAGCGTCAGATGGAGTTAAAAGGTCACACAAACATACTGGGGAGGTGTGTGGGGGGGGGGGGTACCTGCGGTCATTTCCCAGGACGTCAAAGAAGCCCACCTCTGGAGAAGCGTCAAGGTTGTATGGCCCCAGTAACACCTGCTTGTGGAGTGCCACCAAACGAAGCTTCTCCTCATAGGTGGGGTGGAAGGCCTTGCCATCCTTATCTGAGGACAAGACAAACACAAACTAATGGTCTAGACTGCAATACACTATCAAGGCAAATCATCTGTTGATCATTCATTGCTAGACAGGCCTATATTGGAAATTGCACACAGAACATCTTGTTGCTAAGTGTGCTGCTAGCGAATGGTGGCTGACATACATGTCCCTATTACAGTGTATACAGTCAGCGAAGAAGCAACTTAGCCATGTCTGACCTTGGTCATAGAAAGAAGCCTCAATTTAGACAAGATCAAATGACAAGAGAGAAAGACATGCTCTCTCTAAATGTGCACTCCTTATATTGCCAATGCCCTTCGGGAACAATCAATAATACATGCAATGCACAGCTTCACTGAAGAATAGGAGGAGTCCAGGTTTGGAACCTGTTTGCAAAATGCCAAAAGTCACCTGGAGTGCTCTCACAATAAACCAGCAGTAAACATTGAATGTTGTTTGAAAATGGTCAATGCAATTCAAAGATGTTTACTTAGCGAACACAGCTGTGTGGGAGAAATAGGCTACTCCTTTAATGTTTCGTTAAAATTGGCAGCCCTCTAATATTTTGCTCCCCTCTAAAGATCTAGGCTGAATTTCATTCCAGAAATGTATCCTCTCCCCTCTGCCCTTGCTCACTCCACAAGTGTAGATCTGAGATTATTGATTATGTGTAGGTAAGCAATCGCTTCACCTTGTTTCAGTCACGCTGCTTTCATCTACTCATTCCTGTTAGATCCGTGAGAAGAAGGGAATCGGAGCAGAAGGCATACACGTGTTCTGAAAAAAAGCAGAAATCCGCAGGTTGTGGGCGAACCTATGCTACCCAACATCTTGTGTAGTGTTACACTTTGAACGAAAACAAGGGGGTTGAGCTCTGAGCTGCCTTGGGCTGGACTTCTATGCTAGGTGTGTCTTTGCGCTAATCCCGCCTACTCGAATGACCCTACTTCCCCAGAGCTGGAGAGGAAGTGAAAGTCACTTGCAACCTAATGTCACTGCCGCCAGAAACAAACAGAGCAGACGAAGCATACAAGCATCCTTCTCTGTTCTTGGATCTGAATCAACTCGACCCCAAAAGAGAAAAAGAAGCGAGATAATGACAGCTCATGACCAATCCATAAACCAGATAAACATTGGAATTCATTTTGACAGGTGGAAGAGTGACTCTGACTGACATGGCCACCGTTCTCATGGACAGGTAACGTTAGGTAAGGGATGGGTTGCGTTTTTAGCCTGCTAGCTACATTAGCTGCTAACCTTAGTGTGCTATATGTTCAAGCTAGCAGCTAACAAAGCTACTTCGCTAGCTAGCTAACATCTTCTGTATTCGGACTGTTTTGTACTCAAAGGAATCTAACGATACCATCATGTAGCGACACTGCAAAAACCCCAACAAGATACCCAACGCCTTTATTTCAACTAGCTACCGTTAGCTAGCTAAAGCTAGATATGCAGATTGTTGACATGATAGTGTGTTTCGTTTGTAGATGAAAATGCTAGCTAGCTAGGTGGTCGACAGCAGTTTCTGCCCAGGACCACCCCAAAAAATGCATCTAGCTATAAAACTTTGCACAGTAACATCACAGAAACATGTATTTCACTGACATTGCCAAATACTTTAATCATTTTTTCATTGGCAAGATTAGCAAATTTAGGCATAACATGCCAGCAACAAACGCTGACACTACACATCCAAGTATAACTGATCAAATTATGAAAGACAAGCATTGAAATGTTGAATTACTTAAAGTGAGTGTGGAAGAAGTTTAACAATTATTGTTGTCTTGGATGCAAATTACTGAGGATAATAGTGGGCGTTATTGCCACTCCTACTTCCCATATCTTCAATCTAAGCCTACCAGAAAGTGTGTGCCCTCAGGCCTGGAGGGAAGCAAAAGTCATTCCGCTACCCAAGAATAGTAAAGCCCCCTTTACTGGCTCAAATAGCTGACCAATCAGCCTGTTCCCAACACTTAGTAAACTTTTTTGGGAAAAAACGTATGTGTTATGGCTTTACACCCCCTGCTATATTGTGGATAAAGAGTTACCTGTCTAACAGAACACAGAGGGTGTTCTTTAATGGACGCCTTTCCAACATAATCCAGGTAAGAGTCAGGAATTCCCCAAGGCAGCTGTCTAGGCCCCTTACTTTTTTCAATCTTTACTAATGACATGCCACTGGCCTTGAGTAAAGCCAGTGTCCCTATGTATGCGGATGACTCAACATTATACACGTCAGCTACTACAGCGAGTTAAATCAAAGCAAAACTTAAAGAACTCCAGTTAGTTTCAGAATGGGTGGCAAGGAATAAATGAGTCCTACATATTTCTAAAACTAAGAGCATTGTATTTGGGACAAATCATTCACAAAACTCAAAACCTCAACTGAATCTTGTAATAAATAATGTGGAAATTGAGGTGACTAAACTGCTTGGAGTAACCCTGGATTGTAAACTGCCATGTTTTTATTTATGTAATCAATTTTAGAATAAGGCTGTGACATAACAAAATGTGGAAAAAGTCAAGGGGTCTGAATACTTTCCGAAGGCACTGTATGTGATAGTGGAGTAGTGGTCTGAGGGAACACACCAAATATATTGGGTAAAGTGTTCTGAAATGTAATGTCATGTAATATTTTAAACTGTATATAACTGTACTAATGTTGCTGGACCCTAGGAAGAGAAGGCAGCAGCTAATGGGTATCCTTAATAAATACAAAATAAAAATGTATCAGGGAGATACTGGTGGAGACAGTCTGATTTTGAGGGAACCTAAGGCTGTGCAAGTTGTGGTTGTGCAAACCCCAACACTTAGAGGTAAGAAATGCTGTATGCATTTTCTGTTATGCTTTGTGATTCAATAATTATTTTGTTGGTAATAGACCAAAATAGTTAGCCATGTTTGCCTGTTCAGCACATTGCTGTCTATATACAGCATTGATTCCTACCTAGTGTGAACTACCCACCAGAATGACTGAATGAATATCCAGTGTGGTCAGTCAAGTAAACAATGGCTCATCTGCATGACGTATTGGTGGACTATGGGCCATCAAGTAATAGGATGGTACATCAGCATGTTACACTGGTAACAGCACAACACCACATATTCCATCCATATAATGTTATCAAAATCAATGTTTATTTAGCATATGCACAGGATACAGTGGGGTGTATATGGGAATATGGTAGGAAACTTTTGTTCATACAAGTACTTTGAGTATACTTAAGAAATTAATTATCTCGCTCACAAAACAGTCTGTAGGTTCACACTAATTTACTCATATGCCATCAATATTATGTTATCAAAATCAATGTTTATTTTTTGGCATATGCACAGGATGCAGTCTGATGTATACGGGAATTTGACATTGCATTGTACCGTGTACTATTGAAGTAACAATTTGTTTGTTTTCCCAGTGCCAACAACCCCCAAAGACTCAGGACTCATCCCCATCCCTCCTGTACCATTACCAACCAAGCAAGAGTTTCTCCAGGAACATCAATGCAAAGGGATTGGTAGGAACATTTTGTTGATACAGAATGGCAGACATTACACTCTTTACAAGTATTTAACCTTTTCCTGATGAAACTTGAGAAAGGAATATACAATTACATTGAGTTAGAATCAATACTATGAAAACTTGGAAAGGCCATTGACACTAGCACTAATAATTTCAGTGACATTATTTTTTTTCTCCCATCAGCATTAAACACTGCCATAGTAACAGAACCATTGATTACCAGGACTACATGCTGCATTATAAAATACTTGACTCTTTTGTAAAATCCCACATAATTCACAATTAAACTTTACAAGGTAAAAGTGACTTTTCCACCCAAAAATGGGACAATTACAATGACAACTGAACACTTGAAGAACTTAAATAAAAACACACATACAATGCAGGACATACACAGCTAGGTACCAGCTTCCAGGAAAAAAAAGCCTACATGGTGCCACAGCGGATCTCGGGAGGCCAGTACTCGCCACACACAGCAGCTTGGAATGACGACCCTTTTGATAGGTCCCACACCTCCAGACCAAACGTATCTGCTGCTCCTGGTTCCCACCTTTCACCCCCTACTAGGTCATCAGAGCCGGTATGACCGCAATGCATCCTAACGGCACTGCTACAGAGGTTCAATTTTCAATGGCTGATGCGCAAGTTCATTGTATCTTGTGAATTGAAATAATGAGACAAAGTTGATTTGGTTGGTGAATGGTGTAGCAGATATAAACGTCACATGGACACTTTTGATGGTGATGCATGTAGTGTTAGGATGTTCGTCATCATCTATGGCTGACTGTTTCTTCCATCCAACAGGTCCAAACTATCCTGTGCATTATAGGTTGACATTGGGAAAATATTAAACAAGTTGTTACTTCAATAGTACACTGTACAATGCAATGTCATATTACCGTATACATCAGACTGCATCCTGTGCATATGCCAAAAAAATTGTGATTTTGATTTGATAACATAATATTGATGGAATATGAGTACATTATAGAATTCAACCACATATTCTTCAACGCTCTCCAGGGTTGTCAATCACCAGCTCTGTTGACTACAGATAAACTAATATATTACATTTACATAAGTATTCAGACCCTTTACTCCGTACTTTGTTGAAGCACCTTTGGCAGCGATTACAGCCTATAACATAAGCTTGGCACACCTGTATTTGGGGAGTTTCTCCCATTCTTCTCTGCAGATCCTCTCAAGCTCTTTCAGATTGGATGGGGAGTGTCGCTGCACAACTTTTTTGAAGTCTCTCTAGGGATGTTTGATCGGGTTCAAGTCCGTGCTCTTGCTGAGCCACTCAAGGACATTGAGACTTGTCCTGAAGCAACTCCTGCGTCGTCTTGGCTGTGTGCTTAGGGTCGTAGGTGAACCTTCGCCCCAGTATGAGCTCTGGAGCAGGTTTTCATCAAGGATCTCTGTACTTTGCTCCGTTCATTTTTCCCCCTCGATCCTTACTAGTTTCCCAGTCCCAGCCACTGAAAAACATCCCCACAGCATGATGCTGCCACCACCATGCTTCACCGTAAGGATGGTGCCAGGTTTCCTCCAGATGTGACGTTTGGCATTCAGGCCAAAGAGTTCAATCTTGGATTCATCAGACCAGAGAATTTTGTTTCTCATGGTCTGGAAGTCATTTAGGTGCCTTTTGGCAAACTCCAAGCAGGCTGTCATGTGCCTTTTACTGAGGAGTGGCTTCCGTCTGGCCACTCTACCATAAAAGGCCTAATTTGTGGAGTGCTGCTGAGATGGTTGTCCTTCTGGAAGGTTCTCCCTTCTCCACAGAGGACCTCTGGAGCTCTGTCAGAATGACCATCGGGTTCTTGGTCACCTCCCTGACCAAGGCCCTTCTTCCCCGATTGCTCAGTTTGGCAGGGCGGCCAGCTCTAAGAAAAGTATTGGTAGTTCCAAACTTCTTCCATTTAAGAATGATGGAGGCCACTGTGTTCTTGGGGTGCTGCAGACATTTTTTGGTACCCTTCCCCAGATCTGTGCCTCGACACAATCCTGTCTCGGAGCTCTACGGACAACTCCTTAGACCTCATGGCTTGGTTTTTACTCTGAAATGCACAGTCAACTGTGGGACCTTATATAGACAGGTGTGTGCCTTTCCAAATCAAGTCCAATCAAGTTTCCAAAGACTCCAATGAAGTTGTAGAAACATCTCAAGGATGATCAATGGAAACAGGATGCACCTGAGCTCAAATTCGAGTCTCATAGCAAAGGGTCTGAAAACATATGTAAATAAGGTATCTGTTTTTAATTAATTTGCAAAAAATGGCTAAAAAACTATTTTTGCTTTGTCAT